ACCAGTATTTTTCAGACCTTTTTAGCAGTATTAGATTATTTATAAAACCTATAAAATTTAGTACAGCTAGCTGTAAAGTCCCATATGATACGACATGCCTAGCTGTAATTAATCGTGACGGTGCATGCATGTGGCTATTTTCAAATTTTCTTTATAGAATCTACAAGAATTTCAATTTAGTTGGTAATTTAGTTAACAATGTACTATTGTTAGTTCAATCTAGATTTTACTCTCCGTGGTTAAAGATAGCTAAATAGTTTAACATATTTAAGGTTAATTAGTTATCTCGCATGCCGTATATCCCAATGGCTTTTCAGTAGTCTATAGACTGTTATTTTTCCAGCCGCAAATTGGTATGATTTTTGTAATTGTTGTTTAACGGCAGTTTGCTGTTCAGAATCTAGATCCTCTAACATTGCAGCATCTATTCTAATCAGTATATCTATTTAAATGGAGATAATTAAAACTTGAGTAAAGGTAGGAATAACGTTTTTGCTTAAATTAATCAAAAATCATTCATTCATTTAAAAATATATACATTTTTTAAAAGACGCATATCTGCAGCTAATGGTGCACATCCTTATCGCTTAAAACAAAATTTTTGAGATAATATAAGCGCGACAAATATTGCCAAAAAGTAAGTGTCAGAGATTACAAAACAAGAGTATATATTTATATAAATAAACACTTATCGGAAGATGAATCAATACAAATAGTATATAATAAACCAAAACATCTGAACTTAAACAAAAGATAGTAAATAATATTATTATTGTGTCTGTTTCGACATAAAACAGAAAATATCAACAAAAAATATTGAGTTTCAGCAAAATAATTAAAAAAATATTCGTAATATCTCTCAAATATCAGTAAAAAACCTTTATAACTGCATTCGTGTTTAAGTTTTGTATTCTATTAAGTAGGTATAGTTATCTGCGTTTGTTGAGCACAAATACGAATAGAATAAAAAATATAACCAATGTTCCGCCGATCTAATTCTGTTGTTTATATGAAAATATGCATCAAGATCAGCTGCAATCGTTTTTATTGCCAACGATAGAGTGTAAACGGGATTGAAAAGGCGGGATCTTCAAATAGAGTCGAAAGCAATAGAGTCGAAAATCTTAGCGTGAAAGACTTCAACATGAATCGAATAATTTCTGACTGAATAATTAGTAGAAATAAAATCAATAATCGTTATACTTTCTTGATTTTTTTTAAATAAAATTTTAAAGTATTAGTTCTACTTTAAGTTCGGAAATTTACAACTTAAAATTTGTTTCGTATTATTAATCTTAGTACAGAGTTTTTAAAGTAAGAAAAATGTAAAGAATACAGTTGGAGTACAATTTCTTTTTTAAATATATTTCCAAAAACCAAAAATTACATGAGGATGACATATTAAATTCTATATTATAAACACTGATAACTTATTGTGAGAAAAATATATTTTTAGCAATGTGTTGATCTAAACCTAAGACATTTTTATAGCAGAATGTATTATTCTTGAATTGTTTACACACAATCATCTCCTTACACCTACCATTACCATAATATTTGTGGAAGTACTTATACCGATAATGATACATATTTTTACCATTTCATGGTCGTATGTATTATTTTGCGTCACTTAAAAATTCTATATAGTATAATGTATAAAATGTATAATACAGTTCATATCAAAAGTCAACGACTGTTTAACGAAGCTAAAGAACGTCATTACCGGAAAGCAATGTGTGTGCCATTTGTTTTAATTTAAAAGCGCAATTATTAATTTTTTAAATTTTTTGATCTATATTCCTCAATTATTTTATTCATAGAAGAGGAAAACAATGTATATATTTTTGGAAGTTGGTCCCGATACGTTAAAAAACAAATAAATACATAATTTAAACATAAAGAATTAAATACGTGTATATTCAATTAACACAACTGTCGATTAGCAATTACTAGCTAGAGATTATCAATGATAATCTGCTACCAATCATTGATTTCATCACAGTTATTATGACATTTATTTGCTTTGTGATGTTTTTGTATTCCTGCATCATTTGCTTTCCTGCTCTTTTACTCTTAAATACTAAAGATCTTAAAAAGTTAATTGGTATTAGCTTAAAAATAAAAACAAAAACATATATAATTATATAAATAATATTAATATTATTATATTACTATTATTATTGTTACAGTATATAATTGTAGTTTTATTTTTTTGGCAACTGGTTCACTGGTGAATTCACACATATACAACTTTTGTTTATATTATATTAACTCAGCGTCTACACTGGCTGGACTTTGGCAAAATTTCTACATACGCATAATATTAATATTATTATATTACTATTATTATTGTTCCAGTATATAATTGTAGTTTTATTTTTTTGGCAGTGTTCACTGGTGAATTTCATATTGAGTTGCCATTGCCAGTGCCAATTGTCCCAGTACATGTCGACAGTAGTATTTTACTAGTTGATGCTTGCTGAGATAATGTTTTTAATTAAGATTTATATATTGCCGATAATTATCCACTGGAGAACTACTGGAATATTTTACGGCTTATTTGTATGAAATATCAATCGAAAGAAAATTGTGTTTGAAATAAACAGAGATACCTTGGTATGAGATGTAAAAATAACTGTTTTTTATGCCGATATTTTCCGCAGAATAACATTACAAAAAAGCCATAATTTTATAACTATTTCATTAAATCCCTAGAACATCTTAACTTTGAAGTCAAAAACGATTTCATTCTAATATGGGATAAAAGACGGAAAGTAATTAAACACAATAAACAAACTGATGCAAATGTCATCATAATGACTGAGGTGATGTCAATGACTGTTAGCAAAATAGCAATGTTAGTCATATTCATACTTGAGTATACATTACCACAATGAAAGCAATAAATGCAATAGCAGTGAAAAACTAATAACTGTAAAATAGAAAATAAAACAAGATATAGAAGGAAAAAGAAAAGTCATTAGGATTTAGCTACGCTTTTTTATAGTCAATCTAACACCTTCAAAGTTAAAACTATATTTTGTGATTAAAACTGTGAAGACTTCCTGCAAGACCAAGAACTATTTATTCTACATGAGATTTCTATTAATTTAAGCAGTTTAAAATAACTTCTAAGATAATATATATATATGTATAAAATTTATTGTTATTATTACGAGTATGTGGGAGGATTTTGCACTGTGAAATCTATTGTGCCCCGTTTATGGATATAGAGTATTGCTTTAAGTTCAACTTCCTCCTTCAAAGTTGTAGTATTGAACATGCACTACCAAGTTTTATATCATCAAGCGATATGAGCTCCTTACCTACATATCTATTTATCTTGTGTATCAGTGGTAGGCGGCGGTATTTGAAAGAAAGGCTATGAGAAAAGTATTTGGCCCAGTGCAAGAAAACGGAGAATATCGCATAAGAAATAATGATGAACGATCAACTGATGATAACGCTTGAAGTGGCAACACTTGAAGGGGGTAGCACACGTGTGCTTCTGCGGATGCCAGAAGAAACCAGCAGTAGCCAGAATCTTCGAGAGTGAAATTAGAACAACGAGAAGAAAAGGAAAATTGAGATAGATATGGAATGACAGTATTCGACAAAGTCTGAGATATATGAATGTCATCAACTGGAAGATAAAAGCCAAAAATAGAGTAGAATTAAAGAATGTCGTAAAACAAGCTTAGGTTCTACATGGACTGTATAGCCATAGATGATGGTGATCAGTGCTAGGCAAACTTTCAGGAATGTTTTGAGAAAAGAAATGTTTTGAGTTTTTCTTTCCCTATAAAACCAACTAGTTTCCAGTTTCTGTACTAGTTTCTGTAAGGTAAGCGCTTAAGTTTAAGATGCATAAAAAATGTGTGCTTTCCAAGGAAAACAATGTTCTCATTTAGAGATAAAATGATTTGCATCAAATTTGATTTAAGAAAACACAAACATTTAAATATTGCACTTAATAAATAATGTCGTGTAAAATTAATTTTATTTATTTATTTTTTGGTATTCCGTTTTAATATAAACACAGCAAGTGTATTTGTTGATAAAACTTTCACAGCAAAGTAACAAAACTCCAGAAAAATGTGCGAACATAAAAGTCAATTACGGCTTTGGGTCAGTTGGTTAAGGTTCGCTGACTCTGAGCTTCAAATTTGGTGGGGCACGAGTTCGCTTCGTGGTACTTGTAGTCTCAAAAAATTATATACTAATAATTAAATACAAGAATTATTTCCAAGACAATTGATGATGGATATTTGGCAATATTTGAAATAACTATATGGTCAGCCAAAAAATTCAATTACTTAAAATAATATAAAAATGAATTTTTGTTGTTGTAGTTCACTATTGTTCGAAAAACCTCTTTATATCCTGTTTCTTAATATTTAATTGTTTATTAAAAATTGTTTGTTTATTTCTATTATATTAAATTGTTTTGATTATGAGTACTTGAGTGATCTTCTAATAAATTGTAATTTTAATTTATTTATGTTGTGTTTAAATTATTTTGTTTGGTCAATTTTGTTTCAAAGCCTTTTATTTTTTTAATGCGCAGAAACTGTAGTTTATTTTTTTATTAAAAAACCTGTTACAAAGTGTATATAACAAATACAAATATAAATTAAAATAAACATATGAGTATGGAATTTAAAAACGAATTAAATTAAATTTACTTTTATTGAGCGTTTAGAGTTTTTAAATTTGTTTTCTTTGTTATTTGGCTTTGTATGCGACGTGCCCCTTAATGCAATTTCACACATACAGAGTACTAGTCTTATCAAATCTAATGTGCGCCAAATTATTTTTAATCATAATTTTTTATAAATTTAAAGTTATCAAATACTAATGCAAAAATGTAATAAAACTAAATTTTAAATACGTAGTTCATATACATATTAAGTTTTAGTTTATAAAAGGATTTTAATTAACTTGAACCGATTACAGTACACCTTGCCGAACAATTGAAAAGCTATAAATAATACACTTACGCGTAAAGAATCCAGTGGTTCCATTATTGATGGCTGAATTTCGTACTTTGTATTTAAGTTTAACATAATATAACATCAACTTTAAAATATTTAACACTTGAAATTAAACATATATATAATTCATAAGAGGATATAATTTTTATATGTATTAAAATAATATTTTTATTATCATGTGTTTCTTTTTTCATAACTCTCTTTCAAGTTCATGAGATGCATTTCTGCAAACTCTCGTTAATTAAAATATTCACACTTTTGTTAATTATTTATCCCCTTTTCTATTATTTTTATTGCATATAACCATTAAAATTTTATGTATTTAAATTAATTTTTATAAATATATTGCAATTCATAAGTTACTGATTGGACAACAACAAACTTATGAGAAACACGGCGACGAAAATGAATGTGCAATTTACAGCGGCTGATAGCTTTGGACAGCGGGTATTTTTTCAGACGTTTGGTACTAAAATAACAACTCATGTTGTGTTTATAGCTTTTAAATAAATAGTATTAGTTACTTTAATAATTTATTATCAGATTTAAGCGACTCGTTATTTATAATGTAAATAGTTGTAGCAATAAATAAAATAAAAAAATAAAAACTTTAATAATTTTAACAACTGATTTGTGATTTATTCCGCTATTTTACTTATTAGTACAATACGAAGCATACCTCTCACTCTTCATATGAACTACATTTGGCAAATGTCAAGATCTTCAACAATTTCAAGGAAATTTTGTTAATCTGTATATTGTTCAAATAGATGAAAAAATTCTATATTATAGCTGTTAACGCAGTGTTGCATTTGAACATATAAGATAAAAAGAAAACTATATAACGCTTATAATATTATAATAGGTTTACTCACGATTTTCAGATATGGCATATAAACTTGCTAAAACGCGCATTATACTTATTATGAAGATAATGAAAATACGAAATGTGCTTCATAAAGCGAACTATTTTATAAATTTTTTCAAATATAAATAATGTTGGCAGCTCTAAACAATTGGTCATTTTAGATTCATTTGCAAATGCACATCCCGAAAGTTTATGCAAAAACTAGAATAGTTTTGCAATTTTTAGCTGGTGCTATTCACAACAAATTGAATATTAACAAAACATCGAAACAGTTTTAATTTAAAATTATAAATTAATACATCAGCATTCGTATAATATCTAATACTTGCAAATAAAATTTTGGGTTTGTGCAGGCAAAGTTTTTTTCTTGTAATGCCAGGATTTCATTTTAATGAAATGGGCGAAATGGTGTTGGACAAAATTGATGAAATTGGAGTTATAGATGTCTATGAAATGGCGTCCGAAATAGGCAAAGAGTATGAAAAAATTATTGAACGGTATGGTGCTGATGCCGTAACGGGACTTATGCCAAAAATCATTAACACGCTTGAATTGTTGGAAGCTTTAGCAACAAAAAATGAACGGGAAAATGCAACAATACAAGAATTGCGTGATAAAGTTGCACAACTTGAAAGTGAGAAATTGGAAAAAGCAGAATTCCGAAAACGTTTTGATAGGGTAAATTTTTTGGTGTTTTTATTTCTTCCTCTTTCAAATTTGATTTTTTTTATTTCATTTCACTAAATTTCCTTTTATGATTAGGAATTGGAAACAATTGAAGATCAGTGGCGCACTGAAACTAACGAGTTGTTGGATTTAGTTTCGTCATTACAAGATGAAAATAAGCGACTAGTTAAGCAAACCGAAGATTTGCAGTCTGCGTCTGCGCATTCATCTGGCTTAGGTGCCAGTCTAACCGAAAGTATTATGAGCATTACTAACAACGAACTGCATAGCGCGCTATCAGATACACAAGTATTACAAAGGCTTAAAGAACAAATCTACAAGCAACGTGATGAATTGAAACACAAAGAGCGGGAACTTCAGGACAAGTATATTGAAATTGAAAATGTAAGTAAAAAACCAAAAAATTTAGTTATAAATAAATACTTGTCCAGGTTATATTTTTGGTGTTTTTATAACTACATCACTGTTTGGAATATTAGTTTCAATTAGTTCCAATGTTATAAAAAATTATTATATGTAATAGCAATATTATTATATGTAATATGTAAATATGTAATAATAGCAATATTTTAATAATAATAATAATAATAATATAATATATCTAATACATTTCATATGTATTAAATGTGGGCCCTGTTTATCAAGAATCAGTTAAATAGTTGACAAATTTGTCAAATTGACAAGGAGTATTGTAGTCACAATTGCTTAAAAAACAATTGATAAATATATGAATTAGATCACAATTAGATCACACAACTTTCTATAGCACAAGATTTGATAAATTGCGATTACTAGTCTACCAAATCAATAATTAAAGAAAATTGACAATTTAATTCGACATTTAACAATTATCTATGTAATTGATATTTAATACATTTAAATATTGGTATATATATATATAACATATAACATATATATAAATATAATATATATATATATAATATATACATATAATATATACATATAATATATATATATAATATATATATATAATATATATATAAACACATAGAAAAAGTCTGCGTTCATCCACAAAATTTTTATTAAATTTCGCATAACTTTTTTAATTTTTACTCAAATTGATTTTTATCTAATTTATTTTAACCAAAAAACCAACAATGAAGTACTAACTTAAAAATTAATAGTTACTCTTTAAAAAAAAATTAAACAATTATATGCAAAAAAAACCAGTTTTTGAAGCAGTAAAAGGCTGCGTTCAGTTTTTAATATTTAAATTAAAACAATTACAATTCACAGAAATCTTAAATTTAATAGCCTGTGGGATAACCTTTACGTTTAATAATCTATTTTAAGCGTCTTTGCATAGACTCAACCAGCTTTGCAGTAACCTGTACGTTTATTTTTAGCCATTATTTCTTGATGATGTTTCGTAACATATCCTTGCCGGAAATGGTGTGCTGGTGAATCTTATTTTTCAAATAAACCTACAGATGGGAGTAAGGTGTGGTGATTCTGGTAGCGTTTGAAGTTGCCTGGAAACTTGGTTCAGCAGCCAAATCCGTACGATCGTTGCCTGTTGTTGTCCTGTTGAAACAAAAAGGTTGCCTCAAGCTCTAACATTCTGACATTTTCTTTCAATTTTTTTAGTATATTTAGATACTCATATTTATTCATTGTGTCTTGTATAAATTCCAGTTTGCCAGCATCATTATTTGCTATACACCCCAAACCATTACGCCTCCACTACAATGTTTTACCGTTGAAATTAAGGCTGTAAATCATAGGCTGTACATGATTTCTTCCACACAAGTTTTCTACCTTTGGTACCAAATATGCAAAATTAACTCTCATCGGAGAAAATAACTTATTTTTAGAACTCCATAGGTTTATTTACATGCTTTCTTGCAAAAGTTAATCATTTTATTCTATTATATCTGAATATGACTTCTTTCTTGCAACCCGGGTATAATACTTTAAAACTTTCTGCACAGTATCAGAACATATTTTTTTTCAAGTATTGACATATTGTCAAGCTGTATGTGTAATATGTTGTAATGTATACTATGTATTTTTTAAATTATGTTCATTTACACTATTCGATGCGCCTCATTTTAACCATTGTCATTTGTAGAGCTCCCTATTTTGAACTACTTCTTCCATTACATTATGAGTTGATATAGCTTGGTTCTTGAGATATTTGTCATTAAAGTCGTAATCTATTTATTTTTATATCTATATAATATAAATAAACAATTTTTTATATAAAAAAAATGTTCATACTATTTAAAGAAAATTTATTTAATAAATAATGTAAAAATTACGTATATATATTGATTTATTTAGATTAAAATGTACTATATAGTTAGTCAATAAAAAAAAATTTAAATAAACATTAAATATATACATTTCCTTATGTTTTTTAGCTCAATGTTCAACAAGAACGTTTGAAAATTTCTGGTCGCGATACTCGTCGAAGGCAGAAAGTTTTACAAACGCAAGTGAGAAATTTATGTGAAGAGCGCGCAGATTTTTTGGCGCAACTTCAAGATCAATATCGAGAAATAAATCATTTACGCAAAAGTCTTGGATTGGCCGAAAAAGAAAATGAGGATTTAGTAAAATCGCAAGGGGATGATCCAAATGATCCCAACAGGCCACGTTATACTACACTTGAACTGAAAGAATTATTAAATGAGCGTGATGAACTTTTGACAACGATTGAGAATTTAAATGATGAATTAAAAGCACTGAAACCACCAGAAAAACTATCGAAACGTAATATTGACTCAAGTACTGATGATGATGATGATGACATCGACTGTGATGATGAGTCACAAACAATTGAAGCATGCGCTAGCGGCACGTAAGTGTTAGATAATTGATTCGTTTTATTTTATTGTAAACATTTTTAAAAATGTAATATTTGCAGACCACCTAGCCATGATGCACCAGTACAAGGTCCGTTGCCTTATGAACCAGATGATGCACCATGGAAGAAGAGCACAGAATCCGGTATTCGGAAATTGTAAGTCTAAATGAAATACTAATTTGTTTTATTTAGTATTAAACTAAAAATATGTTTTTATTTTATTAAGCTTTCGAAAATTATTTTCGGATCCATCGGAAGCTAATAACACTTTTCCCAAACGTTCCTTCGCAACTTTGTCCAAAATGGCTTTGTCTGCTACTCCTGGTAGTACAGATATAAAGTAAGATAATTATGTATTGTATTTACGTACGAGGCATTTTAATATGGATCAATTAATTTCGTAAAGCAACATACATGCACGCGGAAAAACCAAAAATTACTTGTTGATTATCATATAGTTAAGTACATTTTTTTTACACTTATTTATATATGTATTTTATATATACTAACACAAACAGGTGCACAAGCCAAAAATAACCTAAGGTTACAAAATTTTTATTTATTTTTAATTTCGTTACTAATTATTTAAATATAACCAAAATCAAAGAAATTTAATACATTGTAAATTATTTTGACTGAATCAAATTTCGAATGTTTAACACTTGTATTTTATAAAATTTTTTGTTAATGTAGAGTGTTAATTAGTTACTCACAATTATTGTTAATATATTTCAGATATGCTTCTGACACTCATTCTCTTAAGTTAAGTTTTTAAAATTGTTTTACATATTATAAAAAAAATTGTAAATATATTAAGTTTCTTTGGTTTATGTTATGAAAATTTACTCTGAAATAATTTCCTTAAATTGTTGATAAAAATGAAGAGTGAGTTTTAAAATTTTACAAAATTTTATAGTATTATAAACTTTTAAACATAGTAGAGGTAAATTACAAATTATATATATATATTAAATAACAGAAGCAAAACATAAAATAAGCAAAACACAAAATAAACAAAAAAAAAAATACTAAAAAACATTCCATATAAAAGACCAATGAAGGCCTTTCGTTAGCAGCCTTAATTAATGTATACATTAACTTATCTGTTTTAGAGCTTCCATTTTAATTTTTAAAAAATGAATCTTTTTTGTATTTCAATTGCAATTAAAACAAAAGAATATTTTAAAAATTTAAATTAATTAAAATTGAACTCTAAAATATTACGAATACGCAAAATTTAGCGAATATCTTACCAAAAATAGAGATTTTTAATAGAAGTTATAATTATCGATATATGTAGTATTGTTCGTTGCAAGCATAAATTTAATCATCAATAATGTAAAATTATTGACATATATATTATTATTACCAATTAGCTTTCAAACTATAATTAGCCAAATTGTTATAATTGCATCAAGATCTCTACTTTTTAACCAAGTGTTTACATGAAAATTCGTATTTCGAATACTTTTGATTTTTTTTGTATTTATTTCGTTATTTCATATTAATAGAAAACAACTAACAAACACAATTCTTAAAGAATAAGCAAAGAAGTTTATGTTGAAAATAAATATACTAAATTCTTTTAGAATTTAGCAATAATTGATTTTCAAAACATTCTTCTGTATTACTAAATCAGAATTATTTACTAATCAACTTACTGTTTTTATGTATTTAAATATTTTCTATGTGATTTATTAAAATATTTGTGTTAATATATAATTAATTTTTATATAAATATAATTTTTTAAGTTCGAGGTTATTGCAAAAAATAGCTAAAAAATTTTTAAATTATTAAAAGTTATTCAAAGTCTAAACCCTAAACATCATATCAAAACCGAATATTTTAAAAAATTTTTTAAATAAAGGTATATATATTTTTTTAAAGTTTCCTGAAAACAAATAGTTACCATTTTATGGAAATATGAAATTTGTGCCAAAGGAGTCAAATTGTTTTAATGCCATTTCCATATAATTTGTTAATAATTTAAATTTGAAAATATTATACCGTTTGATATTATATTTATATACTTTTTAAAATAAATATGGTATTTAATTTACAATATATATATATTCTTGTATTAAAAAAATTATTCATAAAATACGTTCCACATTGAATAGGTTGTTGTTTTAAGGCAAATTAAAATCAAGTAAAACAGATTTTATTTTCTAAATAGAGATTAATGTTTCCTAATTTCAAATAATATTTTAATGTAGAAAGTGTTCTGTTTAACGTTTATTAGATATTTCAGTAATATTTTCTAGACGATAATATTGTGTCTTATTAAGTGTTATTAATAATATTTGTTCCATTTTAACTAATCCTTTCCTAGATATATATATTTATATTTATATATATATTTTTTTTTCTAGTTACTAAAGTCAATCTTTAGTAACATAACATTTCTAGTTGTTTTCATATTTGTGAATTTTATATGCTAATTTTAATTTCTTGTGCTCAAAGTTTTTGAAGATTGTGCTTAAAATAGAATAGAATTTATTTCTTTTTATTTAACGTATATGTATGTGTCTTAATAAGAAAGAAAAATAATGGCTAGTAAATAAGTGTTAACCCTTATTTACTAGCCTCAAATATAACGATGATATACATAAAATGTTGAGGATATTTAGACGTAGCTCAGTGATTTTGTATATGGTAAAGTGGCAACATGACAAAAATTTGAAGGCTGTTTTTTATTCTATTTTCGGTAAAGTTGTAAAGTGAAACTGTCAAAGCGGCTTATTTTGTTTTTATTTTTTTTTTTTGTGGTATACAAAACAAATATTTGTTCTTTTATTTAATTTTTTACTTATATAAATATTTCTTTATTTATTATATTATATTTTTAAAACATATAAAATTTGAAATATAATTTAAATATAGGTCGTGTGCGAGTTAGGATAAGTTGCGTTCTAAATGAGAGAAATTCTAAGTTGTGTTGATAAATAGCTAAATGTGTGCAGTGCAAAAAATCCTAAAAAATCTCCCATTTGGTTTAGCATCAACTTAACCTAACTCGCACACGTCCACAATTGCTAAACTTTACAATAATAAGAGTCAGCTCATGTTTCACCAAATATCAAAAAATAATCAGACCCGATGCATCGGTATTTTGCTAGCTCGTATTATACAAAAACAAAGACACTTTATCGAATTACTACTACGTCTGAATACCTCTATTGATAACTTGGTAGTCCATATACACTGATTACTTTTCTAATAGGTACTACTGTTAAAAAGTACACTCCTCATGGGGACGCAAATCTTTTTAAAATTAAATATTGTTTTGTTCAATATTTTTGACAATTGAATCATTTTTGTTGTCTGAGCAATAATAGCCGATTATTATATTTATCAGTGTAATAATTAAAGAACCTAAAAACATACTTCAATTAAAAAGCTAGATATCGTAAATGTTTACGTTCTTGTAATGACAGCAATTAATTTATACTAAAAAATTTAACAGAGTTATGTTTGTATATCTTAAAATATATATTTGTTTTATGTTTATACATAGTTAGAACAAAGTAAATATATTTTTCTGATTTTTATTTAATTATATCTAACTAAAATAAATAAATTTGAGCAATGAGGTACACACAGCGCTTTGTTTAGCACGTAATATCGTAAATTATGATTTATAACAGAATTGCCAATTCTTAGTGTTATTCTGCGCACGTTCCTGTATTTCTAAATGCTTGTATATATTTATAGCATCAATTTCGACTTTGTTTAATTTAACAGCAGAGTTTCAAACCAACAAGTTTGTTCGAAATGCTTCGTTTTAGTACTTTGTGCTACTTCTAAACCATTTTGCATTCTGCTAGAGAATGCAATGCATTTCAAACAGTTTTTAATATAGTGATATACTATTTTCCTTATATAAGGAAACCAAAACGTTTTAAAAATTAACTTTACGACTTTATCAGTTCCTATGTGCCCCATTTCGTCATGGTACTTATATGCAGAGTTCGTATTTGCGTACACATGAGCGGCTCATTTTGGCTCATTCGGCTCACGGCTCATGAGCCGGCAAAAAACTCTTTTTATACTATGGCTCACGCTCACGAGCGAGCCCAACTACAGAGCTCACGCTCACGAGCAAGAGCCGCTCTTTCATTTTTTAACAGCTCGATTTCTACTTTGAGTGTTTGATTTTCGATCTGTAGAGATTCTTGTTTATCCGTTTAACTCGTGTATATCGTCCTTTGAAGCCAGCATTGTCATTTGTATGTCAATGTTTTATCCTAGAATTATGAGTTTTTTTTATCGAATTTTTCCGTCATTTGGCGTATTGCTGCCATAATAATACTGATTTTACAAATACCTTTACTTGTCACTTTTACTTTTTCACCATTCACAACACTAAGATCTGTATGTTCTTTATCAATTGTAGCAAAAAGCTCTTTATTACTTCAAACGTGACAGGACGCACTAGAATCAATCACCTAATTCGTTTGATTTCATTTTTGGCGATATTGCAAGAGTGAAATATTCATTATTTTTTAAAACCTTATTTACCTTTCTCGATTGCTCTTTGTCTTTAATCATTTCCACTCTTTGTATTTTCAACAATCGCGCTTCAGATGCCCTTTTTTTGGCAGAAAAAACATTCTGTTTTCTGTTTGTTCCTTTTAACCTTCATTGTTGACCTTTTGTTACTTTCGTCTTCTTTCCTAAGTACTCGTCGATTATTTTTCCACCGACAATTTTTCCATTACCATTGATAAGATAAGTGTCCTTCAGAACGTGATTCCAGAGGTGTTACTTAATTGTCATAACTTTGTGGTAAGCTACTTAGTAAAATTGCGATTTTTAAGTTGTCGTCCAAACCTGCATCCATATCTGTGAGCTTTTGAAACCATTCTAACAAACTTACAAAATATTTCTCGAGATTTCCTCCTTCATTTATTTTTGTATTAAATATGCGATGCATAATACACAGTTTATTTATTAAGCTGTCTTTTTCACAATATTGTTTTAATGCATTTCATAAGGGAACGCATTTTATAAGGAACTGTAGTTCTTATCTGGCGAAGTCTCACTTTTATATCACAAAGTACATTTAATGTTTGTATCACTTCAATCACTGAACGCGATAGTAACGTCGTAGAAGGCACTTTCAATTGTTAGTGATCTTTTAACTGTTCGAGGACGACCAATTAATTATAAATACATCAAAAATTTTTAAAAATACTCCGCGCTCTAAAAACCATTTGAATTTTTTGATAGACCCATGAAGTTTGGCAGTAGCGACTGTGATATCTGGACTTCCTGTCTGTTTTTGGTACCAAAGTTTGGCCTATTTCCGTCATTGCATATAATTACGTTATAACTGAAAATAAAATCAAAAAGTAACTCACGTAAAGTAACGTTCATTTGAATTTGAATGTGGCTTTGTAGTGTTGCATGTTATTCTGTAGTATCCGCATAAGGGCTCGTTGTGGATGTGGTTATGTCCACCATCGTTACACCGACCGCTCTATCTTCCTCTGATTCATTACCTGAGTTTAGAAGCTTCTCTTCATCAAAAGATAGCGCTCTCCTCTGATGCAATTGAGGGAGTTGGAGTGGAGTGACAAAGTAACGTCCATATTCATCAGTTAGTCAGAGGTGGTAGGCATATGTAAGTCAGAACGCGTGAATAGGTTTTGTGGTGTATTGATGGGCATCTTTTTATTATCGCTAGGGCGCGGTGGGTGCCCTATTTCGACAC